GTTGTGTGTAACGTGTGTTGTGTGTGTGTGTGTGTGTGTGCTGTGTGTGTTGTGTTGTGTGTGTGCGTGTGCGTGTGCCGGTGCGTTGGGCGTGCGGTGCGGCGTGTGCGTTTCGCGTGCCGTGGGCGTGGGCGTGTGCTCATCTCTCGCAAGTGGGCTACTGGGGGTGGCAGACTAGATAACTTAAGTGTTCTCGCCAACTCCCGTCATACCATTAAAATTGTAACTTCTAATGTAATTAATTTCGTTTATAAGCGCATTGTATCTGTATTTATGACATTTATGTGTGTTCAATCTTCAATCTCGCGCTCGCTCTCGCTCTTTCTCGCCCCCCCCTCTCTCTCTCTCGTCTCTCAAGTCACGTGGTTCGTAAACCTATGACAACGTTTGAATATGGCTCCGTAAACAGACTGACACAGTAAAAGTTCCGAACAACTTTTCCGCGAGCGAAATGTTACAAACTTCAGAGGAACCACAGTTGACCACCAAACAGAAGGCTGTTAAATACTTTAGAGACAACGAAGTCCCAGGGAAAATAGAAACTGCTCTAAAAAAAAATAAAAAAACACGACGTTTCGAGAAGATCCAGATGACGTTTATGGCTACTTGGTATTTTTACATCATATAATATTAATAGTTTAATACTAATAGTATAATACATACGAAAAAGGACATGTAGGGCCTATCCCCTATGAATATATGATATATTCATATGCGGGCTATAGTTACTACTAATAGAGCTATATCTGCGTTACGTATACTATTATAATAACATGAATTTATTATGGTTTGACATGTTACTGTTAGTGTTAGGGCCCCTTGTAAGCTGTACTGGTAGGCCGGAGCAAGGCGGCTACATATTTGTCATTGGTATAGACTAGTAGTATACTAGGATAGTATAGACTATAGACTAGTATAGCCTATAAAAATACGAAATCTATTTACTACCAAAGTCTTAATGTTTCTTTCACCTATTATTGCCGACAATTTTCTGCAAAATGCCGTCCAAATGCTCATCTCCAACACCGCTGCTGCCGCCGTTAATGGCTGCCGCTGCACACTGACCTCAAGGGGTCGTTGTCTGTATCAGGTAGCTACAGATATGTACGCCGAGGTACAATATATGTTATACACTAAGACAAAAGTGTACAGACTTGCTACGCAGAATGTACGCCTAACCCTAACCTAACCTTAGGGCCCTTAACCCTTAATCCTAACCAATAACCCTAACAACATACCTCATGTAAAAATATAAACATAATACTAAACGACCTAAAACTACCTCGGGTACATATCTGTATTACCTGATACGACAATGACCCCATCTGCCACACTGACACACCAGCAACCAGATGGAGATGAGCATTTGGACGGCATTTGCAGGAAATTGTCGGCAAATAATAGGTGAAAGAAGAGTACAGAACATTAAGACTTTGGTAGTAAATAGATTTCGTATCTTATTTAGCATTATATTTTATTGAAACGCTCCAAGTGCCTGTGCCTGTGGGGCCTAGCGCTAGATAAATCTTATCAGTTATCCTACTTCTTAGCCGACTAGGCTCTATACGTACGACTGTACACTAAAGTAAACATGTAAAGGCGAGAAGCGAGAAGTTAACTAATGGAAAAATAATTCTGTATGCTAAAAGCAGTGCTGTTAGCACTGCAACTTATTTTATTACAGTAAAGAATGTAAAGACAACACTAATGAGTAATGTGTCAGCAGCCGGTGTGCTCTGAAATCTGAAATGAAAGAAAAATTAATCATTTAAATAAGTAGGCCTAAACACATATATACACTGTCTTATCTTCTAGGCAAGGTACTTTGGCCAATTCTCCAAACCTTCCATTGTCACTCGGGTAAGCTACGCTAGATGTTTACTGTTCATTGTGCTAGTATTGATGAAAAAGGTGTTGGTGGAATCTTTATAATGATATGGAGTGTGGTAGCCCCTAATGTAGTGAGATTAGTAGACCTGTGCCACCATGAACATATCTATATCGTATATCATGTCAATGAGAATACATATTGCGCATAATATAAGTTTAATCAATTGGTTTTGGTGACTGCATGGCAGATGCATTCTTTTTAAATAGTTAAATGGGATACATTATAATCATTAATAATATAATAAAGCTGTTTCTCATAATTAGTGTAATAAGTTTGTGTGCCCTTGATGCTTTTTTGTCAGGGTTAGAAAAAAAAAAAAAAAAAAAAGGGGGAAAAAAAAAAAAAAAAAATAAAAAAAAAAAAAAAAAAAAAAAAAAAAAAAAAAAGAAAAAAAAAAAAACAAAAAAAAAAAGAGCAGCTAGTAAAGCTTGGGACAAGACGGACATCCCATGTCTCAAATGCAAATACACTGTCAGGTCAAAGGCATTGAACAGGTAAAATCCGCCACACTCGTCAATATAAGTTAAATATTTATTGTCGAATATATCCTAAGTTGATGATTTTCCTCCACAATGTGTCACCTCTGTAACTGCTTACCTCGATGCTCCTCTTTTGGAGTGATTGTTTGCCTTGCTGCCACTCTAACTTGTGGCTTGAAATTTCGAAGGAAGCCCGATGCAAAATTTTGTTAAAAATTTGATCACTGCACTCCGTTAAACTGCCCGCGCAACTTGTTCAGATGATGTTGGTGTCAAAACAGCGAGAATTAATGTTCCATCTTGTAGAGATGCTCAAGAGTGTAATATTCGGGGAATTTTCTACGTTTAGGCATGTGGCGTCAGCACGATGCCGTGTTTGGATGGGGAAGCCGCATTCACTGAGGCGGCGACGTGCATTAACGACTTCATCTCACGCAGCATCGTTGGGCTCAATGCTGGCGATCAGACATGCGTCGATCTACACATCAGGTCAGTTACTGTGCCATACGCACGCACGCACGCACGCACGCACGCACGTACACACGCACATACACACACACACATATGTATATTGCTGTATGAATGCTTCATACACACATGTCAGTTCAGCTACTATAACATACGTATATATGTTACTATGTGGCTTTAAATACATGCTTGATACATACATATCAGGTCAGTTCCTGTAACATACCTATATATGTTACTATATGTGCCTGCCTCTATGTTGTGTATATCTTTAGTGTTGGCACACACAGGTAAGTTCATACACACGAAAAAGTTCAAACACGTGCCCATACACGTACACAGAGATTTCTGAGAAATTAATAACTGCTGCTCTGTAATGGCTGTGCAATTGCTGAACCATTGCTTGTACACCTGATCAGGAGTAATCAGTTGTCAGAGTGTTGAATGATAAATAGCTGTCGTTTCTCCTCAGAACTGCTCATGAGGAATTCCTGGCAGAGCAAGTGCGACTCAAAGATCTAGCGTTGAAAGCCAGCGAGTGTTCAACTGATGCAGATGTGGTTCAAACAAAGTCATCCAAGAGCAAGACCAAGGCATCTAAATCTCCTAAGCATTCTGCAAAGAGTAAAGTTGGGTAATTTGAACTTGCTTTTACCTTCGGTCCGGAAGACTGTTTGAAATCATCACTTTAAACTGTCATAATTAAGTTGGTCTATTTTTTGACACTATTTGTACCATAGGCTGTAGTCACAATTTTGTAGAAGTTAGTAGTCGTATTTCATGCTTGATTGACACTATTCATTAAACAAAATTTGACCACCAATGACAAACAAAAAGTGTTTTTTTCTAATTTACCTGTTACAAATTAAATTCATTGTAGCATGTTTTTATCTATCAGGAAGTGTCACCAAGTGTGTTTTAAAGTGCAAAAAACCAAGAGTTTCGGAGGTGGTCTGAGGAGGTCTCTGACCCCCACCGAGTCGTCAGCCCTTGACCTGGACCAGGGCTGCGCCCGTTCGACCACAACCATGTTTAGTCTTCAAAAATCAAATATGTTAACATATCATAATATGTACATATGAGCTGATATCATTTATAAACTATTTGATTATTCTGAAGTGATGAATTTATTCCCAGACTCATACATGTATGTACATCTGGAACTATGTACACGTTTAGGCGTGTCTGTAAACTTTAAAGTATTTCAGGGAAAGACCAGTAGAGGCACCTGCTAGCCTGCATGCCATGCTACTCGCATCTCAGGCGGTTGCCGCGGCTGCAGCAGCAGCAGCCAACGTCCCACTATGCACCCATCTACGGCATCTCTCCAGCATGCAGGTCAGTGACTACGTGTAATCAACAGCTGCTTACTGTCTGGGCATCTAGGTCTGCAATTACACAGGTTAGGTCTCATACAGTGTCCGCCACGCACACAGTATAAGACCTAACCTTAAATGATGACACGTCACTATGAACATTTGCCATTTCTGTTGAGCATTTCAACAATAAAACTACAATGAAACAATATAATATATATAATGGGTTGGTTATACAATGAAACTACCTCTATAGAACAGACACCTGTATAATGGTTGTATCTTATTGTACTATCGTGATTTGTATAGTGGTACGCGTCAGGGTGAAGTCACACCCGGTACTAAACGTCTGTCATACACACATAGTAAAACACAAGACTGATGTACGTATTTAAAGCAAGTACATATTTAATAAACAGAAAACTAACGAACGTATAAGCCCACAAACGAGGCAGAAACGTGTACATATGCTTGCGCGTTCCGAAACATAACTTACTACCGAAACGGTTGATAGGCTGAGTCAACGAACGCAAAGACGACTGTTAGATAACGAAAGGTGTTCTAGAGAGAGCCAGAAGAGTCCTCCGCACAGCCGTGCAGGCCGTTTTATATGCGCGTCAGTCTATATTGTCTTCCGCCTGACCAATAGAGCTTATCCGGCACGCTAATTGGCTGTCGCGTAATGGGACTGGTTGCAGTCCGTGCTCAGCAGTTAAACAAAGACTTCGTCTCCAGCTATCTGCATTATATATTTATAGCGCTAGCCTTTATCCTTGACTTTCATAATTAGTTATGAACTAATTTCTCTGTATTACACCTGTCTATAAAGGCTATTTATTTATATACATACATATCTATCGAATGGATACTAGATGGTAAGATCGATAGATGAGCAGGTACGCAGCTGTTCATTTACAGGACACGTGTGGGTACTATAGACCGGCTCCCGTGGTCAGTGTGCTGAGTGGAGGCGGCAAGGGAAAGCTGAGCCTCCTCCGTGACGTCATGGTGATTCCTTCCTCATCCTTCACGCTCCAACAGGTGGGTACATACAGGTGTTAGACAGGTGAGTGCAGGTTGAAGTCACAGGTGACTCCAGGTGTGAGGCACAGGTGAGTGCAGGTGGGAGGGACAGCTGACTCCAGAATGAGAGGCACAGGTGAGTGTAAGTGGGAATCACATGAGTTCAGGTGGGAAGCATAGGTGAGTGCATTGGAAGACTTAAATGATTGCATATGGGATAATGTGACCGGTGTAATTTGTATCAAAATGTGAGAGAGTCGATGTGACCGAATGCATGCTGTGACTCTTTATTGCACTGCCAATAGTCTGTGCTAGCACACAAGTTAGTAGGGGTAGCCTTTCTAAATATATAATGACTATGTACCAAGGAAGACCAGCTAGAATCTTAATGTTGGTTTCACATACTTGTTTCGTATGGAAGGCATCTCCTTATATATGCATCTGCATCGGGGAAGTGGATTTGGGAGTTAGTGTAAACATTGCAGTTAGAGTTTATGCATTCATAGGCATTCGATAACACTTATTGTTTTGTGTGTGCAATTTCTTTGTAGGCAGTGGACGTACTCATGAAGTTAACCCTGTATCTTGAAGCTACTTTTGGATCTAAGTCAGGAGTAAGTGAGTACTTATTGAACAGTGGCATTGAATAACGCATTGTACTATGTTCTGTTGTATGCCTGAGATAGTGTTGCATTGCGTTTAGATTGTTGATACGTTGGTGGTATTACTTGTACGCGTGATAATGTGGTGCGATTTGTCGACGCAGGCAGTGAAGAATCGCTGGGGCGTTCTCATGCCGTCGTTTGACCGGATAGAGCAAGCCCTGGACCCGCTACTGGAAGCGTTCTCTCAGCTACAGCTGGAGGCCGGCACTGACATCTTCCTGGGAGTTGCTCTCAACGTTGACTCCGCCTACGATCAGGTAACCAGTCGAACCTGCGTATAAGGGTCTCTAAAAGGAAATGTCGAAAGTGTCCTTTATAGACAGGTGATCGTTTCATAGCGGTGGATCAACTATATAACTGCTACTTAAGAGGGAAGCAGTAAATGTCAGACAGGTGTTCATTCTATAGAGATGGTTTCGCTGTATAACTCTGTGTAACATTTTGCCAGATTCCTACATATGCTGTCATTTCACAAACAGGTCTCAATTTCACACTTAGCTCGTGTGACGGTCTATCCACCATACATATAATTAATTATGTCTACATGTGTTAAGGAATGTGAAACTGTTCATCAGCATATCCCATATCAATCCTTATCATTTTTGGCCGTAAATGACTGTGATTACTGTCACCGATTACTGTCACCGTAGTTTATTGTTGCACAGGATAAGGGCAAGTACGATGTCGCAGCCGGAATGCAGAAGTCATGTGAAGACATGCTAGCTTACTACACAGACCTGAGAAACAAGTATCCCTCTATCCGTCTACTTGTCAACCCGCTGGCAGCGCAGGTAACAGCACACACACACACACACACACACACACACACACACACA